CCATCTGAGGCTCACTTTTAAATTGCAAAAAGAATACACACGGGGAATCACACACACAAACGCATGTTCTCACTCTTTTCCTCACACACACACACACACACACACACACACACACACACACACACACACACACACACACACACACACACACACACACATAATGCCTTGTTGTCAGCCTGCTACACTTGGCCTCTAATCTCCACATGATGTCCCATTAGTCTGGACCTCTGGTGGCCCTCATTTAGGAGCTCCAACATCAAAGCTTTGAAGTACCCGACGTCTCAGCCACACACACACACACACACACTTTCATACAGTACACATGCAATTACTCTGCCTCTGTTTTATACAGCTTGCAGAGTCTCCCACACACGGTTCCATTTACCCACATAAGCTTTCCTCACCTAAATGCAAACCCTGTTAGCAAACAGAGTTTAGATGCAGAATGTGATATCTGAGGCTCTCCTGGGTCTCTGACCTGGACGTCTGTAGTGAGACAGCCAAAGTGGTCCAATTTCTTTTAACAGGGGTCTTACAGCAGTGACTTTCGAGTTTAATGAGTGCCAAAGTTAATGTTGCTTGTATGCGCTCCTGAAATCAGTTTTAATGATAACTTTTTAATTATAGCAACATGTAACACAACTTTGAGCAGATATGAAGCGGAGCCTGTCACTCAGGACATTAGGATCCGTAGACAGGAGGACACGTGTTGTTGCTGCACAGTGCGATGGCAGTGGCTGTTAGCATGCTCCGGTCCGTGACATAGCGGGCCAATTACCACCTCTGAAAAATACAGAAAATCCCCAGTCCACTGGAGGAGCGCGATGCCATCTGCTCACAGGTCTGATTGATCCCGGCAGAACAGTCACGACCACATCACACGAATGAACGCCGACAGGAAATTACCAAAGGAGCCAGATTGTCATTGTTCCATACCGCCTCTTGTTTTCACAACCAAATTATTCTTAATTTTGTATCCCTGTGTGAGTGTGTGTTATCCAAATGTTGTTTTTCAAGGTTTTTATCAGTCTGCAAGCGGTACACTGCGGGGGCCCTTTCCTTTAGCCGTCAGATCAGAGAGTTTTCTGCCTCAGAAGCTGAGGCGGCCTTCAAAGAAAAAGCTCTGGCACCCTGTAAATCGATAGGCCAGATTGTGGATGGAGCCCATTTGAGGGTCGCGCCACAGGAAGTGACTTCAACACAGCTAATTAATGCGGGGATTATGTAATCAAGATGGAAAGGGGGCAAACAGGCAGCACATTAATCATCGCAGCGAGGGGGGGAAAGTTTGTTTGGTTTTCTAACTTAATCACTTAATATTTCCTGAATCGTACAACATGTAGGCTTCTCACGGTGTCCTAGCAAAGTGGAGGCGGTGTGTGTCAAGGTATGTTTGTATGTTAACCCTTCTATTCATCTCAGGAGAAATCCTCCATATCTTCCCCTTCAGTGGCAGCCTGAAGAAGAGTCCGACCTGGAGAGGAAACCATACCTCTCTTTCAACGTCATCCAAAATGCACACACACACATGCAGACTTACATGTTTCATGCACACCCCAATGGTCCTTCCGGGAAGGGGGCCCAGATAATCTTGCCAGCAGTTCAAAGCACCTATATGGGTCAGACCGTGTGTGTGTGTGTGTTTGTGAGAGAGTGTGTGGAGGATGGAAAGGGGCTTTGTGGCAACTTGCCCTCAAATGACGAAACGCCCAATGACAACAAATGCCAAAGTCTTGTATAAACACTAGGCAGACCATCACTTTCCTTCCTCCGTGACATTATCATCTCCCCACCACATGAGATACTGCCTCTGAAACACAAATACATGGAGGAAATGATTGGGAAGCTCCATTAAGGGCCCCAAACTAGGCCAGCTTTCTTGTCATTGTGAAGCAGCTGAGGAAATTTAAATATACTGAGGATGATAAGGGGCAATTTCAGGGCCAAATGCTCTGTTTCATGTTTTGATGCCCCTCCCTGTAGACTGAAGCTTACGCCTTATGTAGCGAAGTTTAGTTGCAGAGCTCCGGATTTGATTTCCCAGAAGCCTCTGATATTTTTTGAGGCCATCATATGGTGTCTGGAGCATTTCCTCGTGACTGAACCTTCATTGTGGACACGCAACGTGACCACTGGTCCTGTGAGGCGGGCCACCTGTTCGCTCCACTTGAGGCTGTGGTTACAGTCACGGTTGCCCAATATAGCACGAGACACTTGTTATCAGGCATTGCAGGAGGCCCCTCGCAGTGGGTCCTAACCATCTGTCCTGAGTGTTTGCTTCAGTTTGAGTGAAGGTGTTGATGTGAGGGACCAGTAAAAACACTGCTTATAAATTATGATTTTAAGTTACTGCTGAATGGAACTCTATATTATATAAATGATAACTTGTTTTATTTTGGGACTCACCTTTAGATGCCTTACTTCCTGTGTGATTACCATTAGCACTGATTGGTGTCACCTGGTCCCCCATTCTCTTGAACACTCAACAAAGTCTTTTAAATCATGTTAAGTTAGAAACTGTTTGAAATGAGTGTGTTGGTGCTTTTTTAAACCCCCTCATTCCAAAAACAGATCTGAAAACTTCTGAGAAACCTTAATCAACATCAACTATTGACCCTGAAAGGTAAGAAAAGCTTAAAATATATCTGCCAATCACTACTGAGTAAAGGAAGGCTGTTAGTGGAGCGATCATTCTTGACAGGTTGTCAGGATCTGCAACAAAACATCTTCTGTAATAGTCTGTTCGATGCCGTACCGTAGACAATTCTTTACTCCAAATGTGTCATAGATAGCACTTCAACAGAGCCAGGCCTGGTATTTGGAAAAGCGTGTCGATAATAGAATGAAAAAGAAAGTTGGATTTCATTGATCAATTAGCAATGACATTAAAAAGAACACTTTTAGGAATTCAGCTGGCGAAGATTTGAGAAACATGCTGAAATAAAAAGCTGTGCCCATCATGACTTACTCGCTGTCATTAAAGGGGATGAAGGAAAGAAAAATGAGACATGGAAAATCATGAATGCCTCTCCTAGGTTGTTGAATTGAAAAGGCCTCCTCATAACTTTCTGTTCAAATTAGGCCTTTTTCATTTTGTATTCCATGGAGGCGATAATCAAATTCAATTGCACTTTGAGACCCATCTGTTCCAAAATAATTGACGATTCTGCCCTTCAAAAAACCAACATCGCAAACCTCCTCAGCTCTGCAAAATAAATCTCCGCATCTGAGTCAAATTAGCTCCACGAGTAATGTGTGTTTACAGAGCAGCCGGCACATTTCCCCTCTGATGAAGTTGGACAATGCGGTGAGAGGAAAACAATTAAAACCTCTTAAGCCCCACGGACCCGGTTCCGGTGCCGAAATCGCGTCATTTGCAGGAAACAACGTCTAAGGAACCTTAATATTTAATAAACTATGAATATTTTATGTCCATATAATGGGAAAAAACTAATTTAACTGATCTTTTTCATATTTTTTTTTAAAAAAAACACACAATGCTAACAGTGAGCCTCTGAATTAGCCCCGAGCGAAAAATGCTAACCTATTACTGCACCGAAAATCACTCCTAGCTCCCTTATTACTTATCCTAGCTGCACATCCAACACATCGTTTATGATCATAAAGACACAGAATCTAACGGTGCCCACCTCAACACTAAAAGATACAAACTCGCGACGTTATCAACAAAAACCTACATCAAAACATGTGGCGCTAGGTAGCCTACAACGCTAACATGGCTTACCTTGGTTTTGTCTGGTCAAAACTGGTCTTCAATGGCATTAAAACGATAACAACGATGATGTAGTTAATCCATAGGTTAATATCCAATGTGGCTGTGTCCCCTTTGAAATGTTCTGATAATCTATAAGCAATAAAACTGCAATTCCATTTTCAAATAGTAGAGCAGGCCATTCCTACGCTCTGTAGCAAGATTGACGCCACCTTTTTTTTTAACATGAGTGTGTGCGGGACGATTTCCCTTCGATTCTATTGGCTCTAAAGAAATGTCACATGTCAAAATCGAAGAAGGGGGGCCAGAGATAAGGAAAATCCACCCAAATGGCCCCAGAAGAGGTTTATTTGGCTAAATCTGTCTAAAAAGGTCAAATATCACTTGTTTTGCATCAATCTTGATACAGGGTACTTATTATATGTTGTACTTTGGATTCCTAAAGCTTTTAGTCTACTAACCCATCATCCAAGGTTAGTTCTCACAAGTACAAGTACAAAATATTTTTGGGACGGACATTATAATTTAAGTTTTTTACCATGTTCAATCTGAATTTTCTTTAAAATAAAAAACATCTATATTGATTCTGACTTTTCTACATCCAACCCACAGGTTTATCATTACTTTGAGAAAAAAGATTATTAATTTAACCCTTTTAGAAGGGAAGATATGGTCATTTGTT